TCATATGTTTCTAAAAGCATATCTTTCTGAAGCAATTTCTTATTAGGAGGAGAAGTTCTAAAAGCAAAGACTAAAATAGTCACGATGGCAACCTTATTTTCTGTGATCATAGTTACACAACTTAAATTTGTTGAACAGGGTTAAGTGTACCGTTGTTTGGTGATGCATGTAAGCAAGACCTCTGAAGGTACTCAGCTTCCTTGTTTAATTCAAAGGGTAAAGCATCATCAGCCTTAAGTATTCTCTCCTTTATGTGGTGTTTTAGCTTGTCTTTTTCTTTACAGAAGAAATGCTTTTATGGAATCGGCAATGATGAAGCAGTAATGTTGCTGTGCTTACTTGAACAATGAACCTTCAAATCCTGAATTAGTGCTTTGTTTTTCCCATTTTTTAACAAAAATGGTTTTGTTTGTTTTTTTTTTTTTTAAAAAAAGTTTGCTTTCTTATGTCATAGGAAGAAGCATCTATGGAGAAAGGTTTCCAGATGAGAACTTCAAGCTCAAACACTATGGAATTGGCTGGGTTAGCATGGCTAATTCTGGCCCAGACACCAATGGATCCCAGTTCTTCATCAGCGTGACAAAGCCTTCCTGGTTAGATGGAAAACATGTAGTATTTGGCAAAGTCCTTGATGGAATGGTAAGCTAAAAATGGCAAAATTAATCTAAGAAAATCTGGACGAATTCTGCTGCGTTATACCTGTGTTAGTATAATTTACACCATTGTGGCTCAGAATAGTTGAGTGTTTATCAAATATGGACGTGGTAGAAAGTGAATGTTAGGAGCCTGGAGCTGGAGAATGTAGGACTGAAAGAGCAAATGGTGACTGCAGAAATGGAAACTTAAATCATGCCTTTGGCTTTCACAGCTCTTGTTTCACACAGCTAACCACTGAAATCAACACTGACATCTTTGCAGATTACAAATAGAGTAAGTTCAGGTCCCTATTTCACTAACACTGTTAGGCATGAAATAATTGTATTTTGGCAAGCTAAAATCTAATTTTGTAGCGTGTGTTATGGATAACACTTGAGACTGTCAGGGTTTTAGAAGGAGGTGAATGTGAAGTATACAAACACATATAATCAGATCTGTCTAAAAAAAAATCTAGTTAGCTCTAGCTTGGACTAGATGATCTTTTGAGGTCCCTTCCAGCCCCTAGTGTTCTGTGATTCTGTGTAATTCCTCAAACTGTACACAGCTGCAGAACTGATCGAAGGCCAAAATAGAATTTTAGGTTAAAAATGGTATTTCCAGGTGATTGTACTCTTAGTAGTCTGGTTCTCCATTTAAGTTATTCCATTTAATCTGTGCTTTGAAATGAATGGGGGAAATGTGAACTGCTGCACTGACCAGTTCTTTGGGGAATTTGAAAACCTCATCAGAACACCCCACCAGTCCCACATTTACTGTATTGGAGTCAATACTCATGACCTGCAGGAGTAGCTCTAAATTTTTGAGGAGAGACTTAGACTAAATTTATTTAGATTAATGGACAAATATCCAAAGCCAAGTAGTCAGTATTCATAACTGAATTTTGTCCGATAAAAACACTACTTCAATTAGTTGCTTAGTGTCAGGCCAGTAGTTCACATGTACCTGTCTGACTAGAGGGCGTGGTACCACTCTTAAAATCTGGTAAAGGCAGTCATCAGATTTCCTGAAGCAGTTTTATGCTGCATGATTAGAAAAATAATTACAGCTCATCCTTTATGATCTCTGGATTCACTTTCCACCCATGGGCTGCAGACAGACCCTGTATGTGCTGGGTCAGTCAGCTGAGAGGATATTTCCAGTTGCCCTTTCTTAGTATTTTTGATGGCTGAAAGCTTTCATAGAGGGGCTGACAGCCTTCTGCACGCTTCTGTTGACTGTGTGTGGGTTGCAGAGTGGCACAACTGTTCATGCGGGATAAAAAAAAAAAGCAGACTTGAGCCGCTGGAGTTTCCTTGGCTAAACTGATTTTTTTTTATTTTTTCTCTTCTTTTCTCTTTATAAAACAGTCTGTAGTGCACTCAATAGAACTCCAGCAGACAGATGAACATGACCGGCCCCTTCAAGACTGTGTGATTGTCAACAGTGGCAAAATAGCTGTAAAAGAACCATTTGTAGTTGAAGTAGGCGACTGGTGAGACAAACAGTCAACATGGAAAGTAAAATTGCTTTTTCTTTAGGGCCTGGCTTTGACAGCTCTCAACCCTCCATTGAGTTTTCTGGTAAAAACAGATGAGGCTCTATTTAGACAATACTTGTTGTTTGCCAAATACATGAAAGATAGGACCATTTTTAGAACAACTTGATGGAGCTGTCACCCCTTGAAATGCAAGACATATCCCACTAAATCCTACATATTGCACAAAAAAGACTCTAAGGAAGAATTTTACAAGTACTTGTTTTGTGTCGGTTTTTTTTTTTCCTTCAAATTTTGAAATAAAGTAATTTGTCTTTGGAAAATTTTGCAACATGCATTTCCATCTTTTCGACTGAAAATAGTATTTTCTGTAATAGTATCAGCATTTTTAAAAAAATTAAAAAAAGGGTAAAATACAGAAGTGTTTTGAATAAATAAACTTTGACTTCAAATAAATACTTCAAATGAAGAGCTTTTTTTAATTCCCCCTACTGCCAAAGGGCTTTTTTCACACCTCAGTTTATTCTGCAAAATATTCTGAGGGTGCTGCTTTCCAGGAAATGGGATCAGGAAATGCATCAGATAAAGTCCCTGCTGTCTTTCAGAACCCCACAGTATTTAGATACAGTCCTGTAATCAAGAAAGAGCAGCTCTATTGTTAAACAAGATGATCAGAAACTGATTAAGAGTTCTGGTTTTACAGCACAGTGAATTTTATAACACCTAGCTAATGTTATTTATGGTAAAGCTCAAATGCTTTTTGCAGTTCTTGCTCCACATCAGAGGTGCAGCTTTAGGTTAATTATTTTTGTAATGCTTCTTAATTAACTCTTAAGCTTACAGCCGGTAGGTTTTAAATGAGATCAACATAAAGTAGCGCTCGGAGCTGCATTTGTTAGGTTCGTTAATGAACTTAGTGCTCCACAGGAAAGAGGTGTGGATTTTTTTCTCTCTGGTTCGCTGTGTTTTAAGAGGGATTGAAGAGCTGATGCTGAGGTCTGATGAAGGGTTCATCCACCTGCACAGTGGGGAAGCACACCACTGATCTTTGTGGACTTCTTTTGCAAAGAGCCTCCCTGAGGTATCCAGATTTTGGGTGCAGGAGAGGGAAGTACAGCAGCACAGAACTTGTAGGTACCTATTGGCACCTCCCTCCGGCAGGGATTTACCTCAGTTCCTCCTGATACGTCATTTTTAGTTACAGGGGCATTTCTGCTGATTCACTGTCCACAGCCCTGGGGCCTCTCCTTGCACTTTTCTGAGAGATCTGTGAAAGGATTACTGTCCTGTTTAAAACAGAGCTAGAGGAGAACTTGGTGAGGGCCTCTGAATTTGCCTAGTACTAGGCAATCCATCTTACCTCTGTTGAAAGTAAAGTTTGCCAAAAAAGCAGCACTGGGAAGCAGAGTTAGGATGTACGAGCGAGAATGTATCAGGCTCCCTCACCCAAACAGCTTTCTGCTAGTAGCTGAAAGCTTTTTCCTGGAGGTTGATCCTGCAGACAGTGTAAAGAGTTCTGCTACTTGAAGAACTGCTGCAGTCACAGGCCTATGTTTTATACAAGTTCCAGCTTTAAAACAGATTTAGTAGTCAGCAGGAGGCAATCCACACGTCTCTGAGGTCAGGCTTCCATTCACGTCTAGCTTTTTCCTGCTTTTGTGCAATGCTCCCTCCCGCTCATGAGCCCAGTGACTTGCTGGCTGTTGAATTACACTGAATTTTTTCTGCCCAGACATCATACGCTTTTATAAGCCTAGCATGTTCAGACAGAACGCTGCTGAGAGTTTTAAGTGAGGAGACACCCTTGTATGTTCTTACACTTCATGTAGATATGTGAGACCCATCTCTGGTGACGCAAGCTCAGAGAAATGTCTCACTTGAAGAGAAATGCACAAAAAATACACTGGAGCGGTACATTCACATTCTGTTAATTTATTTTTCAATGTTCAGTAGCACACATAAAAATTTCCAGTTAAATCTGAACAAATATATATATAAAAGTATATATATATATGTATCAGTTTTAGTTTTATCATTCTACTACTTAATCATGTTCTTGCTTTAGCTTACCACAGAGTTGTATGCTCTGTGACTTACAAAATCTTAAGATAGGGAATACAGTCTGCAAGTTGATGTGAAGAGTAAACATACACAGAGACTAGATGTCATAACTGAATGGAGATGTATAAATGTCATGTAAAATCTCCTGTTAGATAAAATCATGTTAACTGAAATCTAAAAAATTTCCTGAGAGAGTGCTATGTATTTCAGAATGTGGAAGCATGTTTTCTTTCCAACAGAAAGCCTCCATACACCTGTATTGGCTCTTTTCCAATATGATATTAAGGAACAGATTCAAAATAATTTAAGAAAAAATGAACAAATACTTGAAGCTGCTTTCAGTTTCTTCTTGGTTTTTTTTGGCAATTTCTCACACTCTCTTCAGTGCCAGTACTTTTAGTCCATCCACTGCCAGCAATGGATAATGTGCTGGCAAAAATCCTGGTGCAAAAAGTTTTATTGTAATTTATGATAGAAATTACAGAAAAAATTAGTAAAGTTTTCAATTTTTTTTCAAAGGTTAGTGTAATTCAGTGTATGACTTTCAGCTTTTAGTGTTAAGTAGAGCATGTCAATACATAGAAGGTATAAATAACTTCAATACTGTTGTTTCTGTATCTTCTTTTTTTAAAAGCAGCAATTGTTGTGACATTGATTTTAGTTAAAAACATACAATGCTTGAACTTAACACTGAGGCTGTGCCTCTTACTTCTGAGTGTAATTTCCGCATCACAGAATTTTATTCCTGTTAATTCCTTTAAACACGACTCAGAGACTTGATGCCGCTTCTTCTAGCCACGCATCACTTCTACCTGGGCAGTAGATGAGGATAAAATATTCCATGTAGAATGCCTTCTATAACTACATTTGGAAAGTCATCTGGAAAAAAAAGAAAAAACAAGGAAAAAAACTTGCTTTCTTATCTATGTCAGTACAATATAAATGTTTTTTGTGAAACTTGACTAGGTAAGGCCTCGTGTAATTTGGGTTACTGCATCACTCAACTGTTTATCCGTGCTGGGGATGTGCTATTAGTAATGCTGTTTCAGCACTAAAGCCACCTCAGTGCAGCACTGGGCATTGCATGAATGCGCTGCCAGATTTGTAGCTTATTGATTTAAAGGGATGTTCTAATACTTAATGCTGCTAGGCTCCAGCTCTTTATCTGAATCTTTTCTCACAAGGAAGATGGATTACACTGGCAATTCAATTTCTAACAAAATCTCAATACACTTGAAGAAATTCCAGGATTGCTACTGGGAATACTTCAAAGCTGTTTTTCCATTGTGGTTTACAGCAATGTTTAGACTGAGAAGATTTGAGTATGCCTGTGCAATCAGAGATGATTATTTGAGGCAGGGAAATTTCAGGCTGTCTTACCAACATAAAATGCCATGTGTTATGAAAAGTCATCCTATAATATCTGAAGGAAACCCCCCCACTATGTTCCTTACAGAGATGTAGAGGAAACTGGTGCTTAATTTTCATGTTAAACTGATCATGAAAGAATTACCTGATAGAACACAGTAATAGATCCACAGAGAGGAATGCCAGGTTGTACGTTATTGAAGTGGAAATATTTTTTAAATGCCCCAACTCCCGTGTTTTTAATGAAGGGTTTACTTAAATCACTGGGCATTAAGAGTAAAAACCCAGAAATTTCTGATGATGTCTACAATGGAAATGGGTTTGCCTAGAAGAACAGGGTATTTCTGGTACACAACTTTCCATACTAATCAAATCTGTCCTCCTCTTAGGAGCCTACTGGATATTCAAAAGGGGGAGATGCAAGTTTTATAATTCACCTAATATGCTTTTGCTCCTAACTCTTTCGCTGAGATAATTTTAGAGTTAAAAATATTGAGCAAAAAGTAGATTTGGACAAGGTAAGGGAAAAAAATCCTTATTAGCTTAAAGACGTTTTAGGTATTAATTAATAAGGTGATTCCAGTCTATTAAAGATGTTACACACAGAGATGCTTCAGGATGTTTTCATGAACTACAGCCTCCACTGTGAACAATACATGCATAATCCTCCCCAAATCACAGTAAGTTATCATTATAAATTGTTAATATTTTGAATCCAGTAATGATTCCTCAAGTCCTGCAAGCTCACCTGCCCAAAATCACCCCAGCAGAATAACCCTATGCTGTTGTCATTACTGCTATTAAAAATACACTTCTAAGGGCAATCTGATGCTTGCTTTCTAAATTAAATGCTCCAGTTCCAGAAAACAGTTTTTACTAGCTTTTTCTGCAACATACAGTGTGTACATCTATAAATGTATATATATATATATGAAAATGTATATTGATAAAAATAAAGGATACAACTTTAGAGCATCAGATTTACTGTGAGGCTTTGTTACATAAAAAAAGAAAACCAAGCATATTAATTTAAGTTAAATATATAAATACACCAAAACACAGTCTTCCAGATCTGTGGTCCTTACACAGCTTAAAAAATCGTCAGAACAATTTTCAAACAAGTGACAGTAGATCCAACATTATATAATTTTTACCTTCTGAGATACCATTTTCAATTTGCAGCATTTTAGATGCTCCCTTCATATTTCTTCAAAGTAGTATGTAACTTGTTTTTCCCACTCTCTCAAAAAAATTTGACCTCCTTACACAAAAACTTATGTGTTCATGCACTCAGACTGTGTTAGATACATGAAAAAGTGAATCTAAAAATCAACAAGGTTTGTAACTGCAAATCTTATTTTTGAAAACTTGGCTTGCAACTTCACAATGTTTCAAGTCCAGTCATTAGAATAATTGCAAGACTATATTTTATAAAGGTAAGAAGCAGTGCAATGAGGGGGAGAAAAAACTGTTCTTTTGAGTATTATGTTCCAGAAACAACTATTTATTCCATTAAAAATCCACAAATGCCCAATTTCCTATTTTATGGGAAGATGTCAATGCAGGCACCTCTGTATCCAGGGAAGACTAACTCCACTGATGATCCAAACAACTGTCACAGTTCACCTTCTTCAAAGAGAACATACAATGAATAGTTATTTGCTAAAGGCCACTTATTTTGGACTAAGTTTGAACAACCTTCTCTGCTTTTTATGAAGGAATCACAGTCTATGAAAGTAAGAACTGATCCAGGAGAGAATATTTTAGAAAGCTTATCTGTATTTTCTCTGTATGGGAAACTGAAAGAAGAAGAACTAAGGCAGTGGTAGTTATGCAAAAACTATTTTTTTCTAACTAGTCTTGAGTCAACTAGTAAAGCCTCTAGGCTTATGACTTGTTTTTCTTCTTTTTAAATGACAACTCACATTCTAATTTATGTTTTAATTCATTAAGTTTAAGAATAATCTGCAAATTAATTTGATGTTTTAGGGTCTTCAAATACAAAGAATATTCACCTGCTATACGAAATTCTAAACACTGTGTGTTAAGGCCAAAAAAACACCCCTCCTTTGTTTCAGATCTCATTAACGAGGCCTACTTGATTTTTGAACATGTCACACATTAGAAGCGGCTTTTATCTGAACCCAAGTAAAGCACTAGTTAAAAGAATAGTTACAAAATTAGCTGTAGTGTTCATAGTGATTTCAAGAAAAGGAAGCTTAGCTTATACCTGGAGTACACATTAGGGAAGGAAGATAAATACTGTGAGAGAACTGCAAAACCTTGAGTAGAAGTCTTAGAGTAAAACTTCACATGTGGCCTAGAAACATTAAGTATCATCTTCATTCTTCAGGATAACTTTACATGAAATCCATTTTCTCTCTCAGGAATGGTATGGAATTAAATGATGTTCATAATTTACACCGTGCTCTCAAGAAGTCCAAGTTTGCCATTACGAGGAGCATTAAACAGTAAGATAAAGACGTGCCATATGGCTCACTCTGAATATTAGTATAGGCGGCATCTGGGCTGACTTTCAGACAGAGGTGGTTACTGTTGTTGTCACTTGCGTCAGAAGTGACCTTGTGAAGTGACCATTTCCCCTCACTGTGCTTCACTTCATTGATTTTGTGATTTACACGCCAGCCTCAATGTGACCAGACTAGTGCTAATTCAAAATAAAACCTAAATGACCCTGTAATGTGGAGCTCTGTAGTCACTGTTTCACTCTATAAGTTCAGTAAGACTCCATAGGGTCAATACTGCTGGGCCACACTACCAGCTACAGTAGACACTGCCTGCAAGAGAGACTATTTAACCCTCCTGAAACAGATGAACCTAGTCCCTGTGGTTTTGAAAAACAGCAGAATCACAGAACGGTTGCAGCTGAAAGAGATGACTGGTGGTCATCTTGGTGGTCATCTGGTCCAACACCCAGCTCAGTCATGGGCCCCCAGAGCCAGCTGCGCAGGATGAAGTCCAGATGGCTTCTGAGTATCTCCAGGGATGGAAACTCCACCACCATTCTGGGTAACGTATGCCAGAGCTTGGTTACCGTCACAGTGACAAAGCGTTTCCTGATTTTCCTGATGTCATGCCACAAGGCACCACTAAAAGAGCCTGGCTTTGTCTTCTTTACATGCTGCCTGTAGGTATTTATATACATCTTGAGAAAAATCTCAAGGAAGTACACTTCATTGGCTAAGAAACTACAAGGAAACAAGTGTTCTTTCCTAAATTTACTCTTAAACATTTCATGATATTCAAGGCAGCTGAAGGACTTGACTGTTGATTTCAACAGAGTATTTTGTAAAGTCAAACAAAATGCAACATGATTAAAGAAAAAATCTTAATTTCCAGCTCTGGGAGAAAATTATCCCTTGAAAGCATATTAAAATTTTCATACAAAATGTAGTAAAGTAACAGGTCAAACAAGTACAATGACAAAACCAGGAGGTTTTATATACACTACTAAAAATGGCATTTTTTTTTCCTGCACACATTTAATTTAAGATAGAGGGCAAATTTTCTGAATTAATAAAGCAAAGAACTTTTTGTAAAAATAACCCAACTGTAAAAGGGGTTATAACAAGCTATTTCAAACACTCTTTTGAACCTTGTATTAAGAGATGAAGGCTAACGTAAATGTCCTGTGAAATGCATCAATTATATTTAAAGTATACATTTTTATTTTTTTTTCCCTGAAGAACTTGAGAGGTTGTAGATGATAAGAAAGAGTAATAACCCAAATGGAAATACAAACATGCTCACGGTAGGTCTACTTGTGTTTGGGAAAAAAACACAAAAGACTGGGCCTCGTAAGTTCAAATCCTTCAGGCAAAACAGCCCAAAGGGTCAACAACAAGAAAAGAAAAGCCATGTTCTTTTGTCTCTTGATTTGAATTCTCAGTAGGTTTGTCTGAGAGAGCAAGTGGAGAAGAAAATTCCACCCTTTTATAAATCACCCACCCCACTTAGTGTTTTAATGGTTTCTTACACAAGAACTATCGTTTTATTGGCAGGTTATTAGATTTTGGACCAGTGTCATTTGACTAGGCTGGTATTAATAATAATGTGGTTTACGTGGTGCAGGGTCAGATCAGTAAAGCGCTGTTAACAGATGACAGGTTTGATTACCGTTGGCTTTAGGCAAGACATATGGATCCCTTAGGAACAGCAGCACAGGCTGGTGGGACAGTTTGCTGGAAAGGTCAAGAACAGGGATGTCAGTATCAAAGGACTGCAAATAGAATATTCTGCAAACTAGCTTTGATAAAGTGAGGTGGCTGAGCCATGCAGGAGCCATGCAGGTGCATTTCTGCACACCAGCACTGCCCAAAGAGGGCTGGCACCATCTCCAGGGAGCAAAGGTCACCTCTCTACAGCCACACAGTGAAACCGGCAGCGTGAAGTTGGAGGTGAAGGGGCCGCGTCCAGGAGGGCCAGCTTGCAGCCGGCCTTGATGCCTCCTGATCCTGCTGGGCTCCATGGTACCTGGTGTAATGTAGGCTACAACATCACCTACAACCAGGCTCCACGGTCTACAGGCTGTTCAGGCCACCAAACAGACTCAAAATTTCATCATGTTCTTCGAGCCCCCAAAGCATTTGCTGTACACCTCACCCATGGAAAGAAAGTCCTTGCAAGGCCCTCACAGGGCTGTCACCCATACAGATAGGTGCCGTACACACAGATACATGCAAAGCTCTATCAAACACATAGGGGAGAACCCAGAACCCTAATTACTGCTGCTAAAACTTTTTGCTATGAAAAATACACTTCAGGAAGTAGAAAACATTCCCAAAAGTGTTTCAGAGCTAGCAGTATTCTGTTAGGGTTTTCTAAGAAATAGCTCAATACAAGCATAAGGGTGCTCAATTCATATTATAAATGGATGGATCTAGCACAGCTGATGAAACTACCTACAATATTTAACAAACACATCTAATTTTAATGCTAAACTACTCCTGTTTTGTCAACTGCAAGGAACAAATGCAGTAAATGCCAATAATTTCACCTAGTTTATTAATCTGATGTCCTAGAAAGAGTAGGAAACAAGCTCACCTTGATTCTTCAGATTCTGTTTCATCAAAAGAGCTGCAAGTAAAGTGAGAGGAAACCTTGTTTACAACAAAATTAACTCTACAATCAAACCCCTCCAAATCCTTTGAGGACCATGAAAGGGAGAAATGTTTATCTGGTGAGTACATAATGCAGTGCGATGAAATGAATATGGGAGATGGTATCATTTTACAACAACCACTACTTGGAAATGACAGTATCCATTTTACTATGGCAGATCCAAAAGTCAGTCTGTCTGCCTGTCATCCGTCTATCTATCTATCTATCTATCTATCTATAATTTCTAGATATGATGAGTTACAGTCCCAGTGATGGTATTGGCTGATGCCATTAACTAAAATTGAAAACTACAAGTCTGTTCACTTCTGAATCACTCTGGAGACTGCCCTGGGCCACAGACATCTGGGTATAAGAGGGCCTCAAAATGACTTCTTTCAACTCTCCTTGTTTCCAATGCAGATCCACACAGCCTCCCTCAAAGTGGTCAAGGGCAAAGGAGCTCTCTGGGGAGCACCTTCTGGTAACGCTGCTCTACTATCAACTACCTGAGTGTGCACAGCAAAAGAAATTATTCTCCCTACAAAGCACACAGCTGCAGATGGTAACAGAGCTTCCAGTTACACTGGTTTGGGTATTTCTGTATTTATACACATCATACTAAGATTTCCTCCTCCCACCCTGAACAAGAACTCTTCCCAGAGGAAGGGCAATGGGACCACTGGGGTAGATGTCACCAGAAAGGTGAAAGACCCCATTTTCAAACATACAGAGGGAGATCACAAAATGATCACTAAGTTAACTTCTATTTCGCGCTGATACTATGACCATAAAATGCAAAGGCTTTTCTATGCAACTTTAGTGTTTATGAATATCTTGTATTTCTGTAGATACTTTAAGATCTATGAGAAAAATCATATTTTTCTCATCTCAACTCTCTTTTGCTTTCCATGAACGTTATATTAAACCTCACTGCTGTCTTTGAACAGGCTGGATTTACTTCACCACCTTTTGGGGATATATAAACATACTTAACATGAACCTACTGGCCATTTATTTTATAGTGCTGAAGCTGGCAGCAGGACCATTTTAAGTCAATGGAACTGCATCAGTAGTGAGTGGATATGGGCCCTTTGGCCTCCATGTATTTTTCAGTAAATGAGAGCTTACCCACAGCTTTCTGCTTTTGGCAAGGTAGGTACATGGCGAACATTCAGGAAATCAAGAAATATTTTAGGAAGCTCTTCGTTTTCTAAGATGACTGTCTGTAAAAAAACGAAAGCACAACAGAAAACCAAGACTTCTTAGTATTTCAGATATAGCACGCTTATTCAAGCTACCAAAACATTTTCCACTTGCAACACTTAAATTCTTCTCCTTTTTTTTTAATACCTATTTTGGAATGCTTCAATAGGAAAAACATAGTTCTTAATGAATCACATATAAATACATTCAGCTTATGCCACCACATTCTTTTTGACCTGCCATCACCGGTGCCAAGCCAGATGCCTCTCAAGTAGAGATGTCTGATTCTGGAACTAAGTTACTGGCTCACTCATTCGTGAATAAAACTTCTGTGTATTTAAAACACGAAGTAAAGCAGCTACAGCTCAGTGCTTTCACGTTCACCTCATAGAAGACTCCTGTCTGGCCCATCATTGGAAAAAGTGCAATTTTATTAATCTATACCTTGGTACATGCTAACAAGGGAAACTCTTTGCTTGGCTTGACGGATCAGCATCCAATACTTCTATCTGTGCTGTGACTCCCAATGATAAAGTTGTGACCAAAGTGCTGCTGGTTAGACCTGCTGTATTCTTCCACAGCAATGTCATAACAACTGCACTCCATCCTCCTTTGTTTTGCCATTGAAGAGATGATTTATAATTTTCAGTAAATTAAGTACAAGTACACTTAAAAATATGTAGCAAATAAATGAGATGCTTAGTTCTATGTTCATCATGAAAAAAATAACTTTTAAAGGAAACAACAGATCTCTGACAGAAGCAGACTGAAAACAATCGTTGGTCTTTGGTGGTCACGAGGCAAACAAAACAGTTCATAAATTCCACCAATCTCTCACTTGAATTGTTAAGCCCCTATTTAATGACTGTTCATACTGCCATATGTTCTGATAACACACATGCATGCAAATGAAAGCCCCAAGCTCTTCCATAAAGGGCTTTCCTTCACAAAAGGCCTGATTCAGAGTGAATGTATGCATGGAAGAGACTTCACTAGCTTTATAAATAAAACAACTTGTATAAATAAAGCTATCCTGTTCATTTTTACAGCCTGTGTTAGAAAAAACAAACTTGTGAAGAAACATTACTCTGCTTACATGCAGGAAGTAACTTATTCTGGTGTGTGTAATTTTTTACATTAGAATATCAGTATGGAGACACAATGGTATGTAGAGGATAACAGGATCACAAAAAAAATTAGGTTGAAAGAGACATCTAGAGGTCATCTAGATTTTATAGCAGGTTTTATAGCAAATAGTTTGGTGATTTGTGAATGGTGCAATGGCACATCTGCAAATGTGAATTCAGAATGTACATGTCTAACTGCTGAGGCTGTCACAAGTTTGAAAAAAGAACAGGGAAAAATGCAGCATTTGAACTCTTCTGTCCTAGACTTTAACGGATGTTACAAACAGGGGGAGCTGAAATGTGGGCAAGTGTTAAGCCTTTCAGTTCACCTCTATATGAAGATGCTGCATTAAAAAAATGCCACTTCGTTTGCATTCTGCAAACTCAGCACTCTGATGCTGCAAAATTTATCCTGTTCTGCATTCAGGTTACGCACAGAAGGAGGGGTGGAGGTGGATGCATATTCAGAGGGTGTGTGAATTGCATAGCAACACATGTGATTTGCTCAAATAAAGCTAACTTACTAATTATAGGCAATGAAGAACTGCAGAAAGTTGTATAAAGATGTATAAGGGCATCCAATGCTTACATGCAACCTCATACACCTCCTGACAGCTTTTTCCAGAAGTGGAGCTGCCTGCTGAGGCTGCTGAACATAACAGTGATTGTCAGGCAAGAATAGAAGGATACATCACTTTGTAAAAGGAAAACTCTCGACAGGTCTTACCAACCTATTTGTTTTTTACTTCCACTCACTTCAGATTAATATCTCATTCTATATATTTTTTTTCATGACATGCATCAAGTCAATCTAAGCCCTGCTAACCCCACCCCAACCAAATATATTTCACAAAAAGATGTAAGCAAATAGCATCTGTTTTAGAGTGTTAATCCATATAGTTTGCTAACTGTCAATAACTCTGCTTTGGTGATCAATAAACTTGAAAATGAAGAATTTATAGGGAAGCAAAGGCAATTTTGCATAGTGCTGTAGTTTGGATGCCACCTCTTGTCATTTACAGAATTTTATGGTAGGAGGAAAGACTGAACTGAACAAAGGAGAATTTTTCAGCTGGTGTAATGTAATGTGCATTTTAGGGAATTAAAAATAAATGAAGTCACAAGTTTATTATACTAATAAGGGGTCCAATTATCTACTGGCTTGGCTTCATTATCTTTGATACACGAAAGGGCCAGCACATAATCCAGCTGGTAGAAACCAATAGAAAGAGCAAAAACTGGGAAAACCCCAGCAACGCTGGATTAGGTGTGTCTATCTAGCTGCGCTTCCTACCTCTGGGGATAGCCCAAAGTAGATGTCAAGAGCAAAAATGTAAGCATTCTCAACTTCCAGTTTAACTTGTATGAAAAAATACTCTTAAATAAAAAATAAATATTAACAAAATTGGCTTAAATTAGCTGGAACAACCCATAACACAACAGACTTTTGACTTCTAACTGAAAAACTGTAAGATAGATTTTGCAAACTTGGTGATTGTTAAATAATAGCTGAGGAGAAAAGGAACAAGCAGGTAAAGTCTCTAAACCACTTTCTATAATTTTTGATGTAATGCGCTCAACTGTAGCCTTTGTCCAAGTGAATATATGACATTTGCTTGTAAACATGACTACTACCTTGTTTGCTCTGCAGTCAGAAACTTAAAGACCTATATTTTCAAAGCAATAAAACCTCACAATTACTTTGTTAGCAATATGAATTTCTGCTACATCTGAATTCTACCAAAATCATAGCAATGAGTTTCAAATACGGGTCCCATAGTGCTAATCTGGCTAATTTATGAAAGAAAACTAGCATGTGTATTTCCCTCCTAAAATAAATAAAAATCAAACAAAACTAGAAGGCTTAACACAACCTCTGGCAAGTGATTTGGGAAGTGACTCCAAAAATATATTTTTCAAACTTATTGATTTCAGCAGAGTATAAGCATCATAAGAGTATAAGCATCATATTTTCTTCGAAAATTGTAAAGGGTGTTTATCTGTTACTGTCACACTTTAATGAACTACCCCATGCTTCAAGAAAAGAAAAAAAAACAACACAAGGAAAAGCCAGATGTTTACATCAGCACAAATGTCTTTTTCATTGAAAAGGTGCAATTATTATTATGTAACACAAATCACAAAAATCCCAATTTTTCTACCTTACCCATTTCATAGAATCATGTTCCCTAAGGATGTCATTGATTAGTTGCACATGTTCTTTTGGTGACATCTGAAATACTTAATTGTCGGTTATCTTTTCTCCTTCAGCAAGTAAAATATAGTCACAAAATTGCAAAGGGACTTGTTCTGCCTTAACCTTAGCTAGATGCCATCATGCAGTGGAAAACACTGCTAAAATATCACAGGATAATGCTCTCCAACAAGGGAGACATATAAACAGCATAATGATTTCCCATGAGTTTCCTTTTTAGAAAATTGTCACTAAAGCCAGGGTAAATGGTGACATACCTTCACAGAGGACACTGCAAAATCGAACACTGGCATTCTAGTTAGGTCCAAACCTACTCATCAGCCAATTATAGCAGTAACTGAACATCTTGCTGAAAACCTGAATAAGACCACTTTGCTAACCTTAGG